TAAGATGCTAGCTGTAGGTTTGTCATATATGACCTTTATTATGTTGAGGCATGTTCTGTTTATTCCCACTTTGCTGAGAGTTTTTATCATGATTGGATGCTAGATTTTGTCAAATGCTTTTTCCACAACTATTGGTTTGATCATTCGATTTTTATCTTTCAATTTGTTAATTTGGTTTATCATATTCATTGATTTGCAGATATTTGTACCAACTTTGCATCCCAGGAATAAATCCAACTTGATCATGGTGTATGATATTTTTAATGTATTGCTGAATTCAGTTTGCTAATATTTTGTTGAGGATTTTTGCATCAATGTTTATAAGAGATATCGGATTATAGTTTTCTTTTTTGTAATGTCTTTGTCTGGTTTTGGAATCAAGATAATGGTGGCCTCATAAAAAGAATTAGGGAGGCTTTCCTCTTCTTGAATTTTTTGGAATAGTTTGAGAAGCATAGGTGTTAATTCTTCTTTGAATGTTTGGTAAAATCTTCCTGTAAAGCAGTCTGGTCTAGGACTTTTTTTTTGGACAGTTTTTTGATTATTGACTTGATCTCGTTGATAGTAGTTGGTTGGTTCAGATTTTCTGTTTCTTCTTTATTCAGTCTTGGGAGATTGTATCTTTCTAGGAATGTATCCATTTCTTCCAGATTGTTCAATTTGTTGGCATAGAATTGCTCATATTATTTTCTTATGACCCTTTGTATTTCTGTGGGATCTGTAGTTATTTCTCCTCTTTTATTTCTGATTTTATTTATTTGAGTCCTCTCTTTTTTTTTCCTTGATAAGTCTGGTTAAGAGTTTATCAATTTTGTTTATCCTTTCAAGGAACCAACTCTTGGTTTCACTGATTTTTTTTTTTGTTTTTCTAGACTCTATTTTGTTTATTTCTCCTCTGATCGTTCTTTTGTTTATCCTTTCAAAGAACCGGCTTTTGTACTGTTTTTCTAGACTCTATTTCCGCTCTGATTTTTATTATTTCCTTCCTCCTATTTACTTTGGGCTTTGCTTTCTGCTCTTTCTCTAGTTCTTTTAATTGTAAAAGTAGATTGTTTATTTGAGCTTTTTCTTTTTTTTTGGTTTTTTTTTTTTTTTTTTTGAGGTAGGCCTATATTGCTATGAATTTCCCTCTTAGGACTGCTTTCACTGTGTCCCATAGATTTTGATACATTGTGTTTTTTATTTTCATTTGTCTCTAGGTATCTTTTGATTTCTTCCTTGATTTCATTGTTCATTCATTGATTGTTTAGTAGCATGTTATTTAGCTTCCATGTATTTGTTTATTTTCCAGTTTTTTCCTTGTAGTTACTTTCTAGTTTCATACCATCATGATCGGAGAAGATGGTTGATATAATTACAGTCTTCTTAAGTTTATTGAGACTTGTTTTGTGTCCGAACATGTGGTCTATCCTGGAAATTGTTTTGTATGCACTTGAGGAGAATGTATATTTTGCTGCTTTGGAGTGAAATACTCTGAAAATATCTATTAAATCCATCTGGTGCATTGTGTCCTTTAGTCCCATTGTTTCCTTTTGATTTTCTGTCTGGATGACCTGTCCATTCATGTCAATGGGAACCCTTTGTCTTTTGATTGGATCATTTAATATATTTACATTATAGTAATTATTGATAAAAGGGTGGTAGATAAGGGTAAAGGAGGTCAAATATATATGGTGATGAAAGGACATTTTACTTTAGGTGGTGAACACACAATGCAATATAGAAATGACGTTGTTGAATTGTACACTTGAAACCTCTATGATTTTATTAACCAATGGCACCCCAATAAATTTAATTATTGATAGATTTGGAGTTATTGCTATTTTATTATCCATAGTTTTGATCTTTTTTTTTTTTTCTAAGTAAGTCTCTTTAATATTCCTTGGAATTAGAATACTGGTTTGGTGGTAATGAACAACTTTAGCTTCTTTCTGTCTGGGAAGCTCTTTATCTGTCCTTCAATTCTAAATGATAGCTTTGCTGGGTAGAATAATCTCGGTTGTAGGTTCTTACTTTACATCACTTTGAATATTTTGTGCCAGTCTCTTCTGTCCTGCACACTTTCTGTTGAGAAATCCGCTGATGGTCTTATGAGAACTCCCTTGTAGGTATCTAATTGCTTTTCTCTTGCTGCTTTTAGGATTCTCTCTTTGTCTTTAACCTTTGGCATTTTTGTTATGATGTTCTTGTTGTGGACCTCTTTGCGTTTATCTTGATTGGGACTCTACACACTTCCTAGGCTTGTATGTCTAGTTCCTTCAGCAGGTCAGAGGAATTTTCAGTCATTATTTCTTCAAATAGGTTTTCAAACTCCTTCTGGTATCTTTATGATAAGAATGTTGGTAAATTTAATGTCCCAGAGACCCCTTAAACTATCCTCATATTTTTGGATTTTTTTCTTTTTGTTGTTCTGATTGGGTCTTTTCTGCTACCTTATCTTCCAAATTGCTGATTTGATTCTCTGCTTCATCTAATCTACTGTTAATTCCCTCTAATGCATTCATCATTTCAGTTATTGCATTCTTCATTTCTGCTTCCCCTTCCCCCTCCCCGCTTACTGTCTGGTAACCACTAGTCTATTGTACATGTCATCATATTTTTAGATTCTTTTTTCTTGTTGCTGTTTTTGATTTGGTGTTTTCTGCTACCTTATCTTCTAAATCGCTGATTTGATCCTCTGCTTCATCTAATCTATTATTGATTCCTCCTAAGGTATTCTTCATTCTAGTTATTGTATTCTTCATTTCTGACTGGTTCTCTTTTATGTTTTCTATCTCCATTTTTATGTTTCCTATCTTTTTGTTGAAGTTCTCACTGAAATCATTGAGCATCTATATAACCAGTGTTTTGAACTCTTGTTTCTGGTAGATCGCTTGTCTCCACTTTACTTCATTCTTTTTCTGAAGTTTCGTTCTGATCTTTCATTTGAGACATGTTTCTTTGTTTCCTCATTTTGACTCCATCCCTCTGTTTCTTTCTATGTATTAGGTAGAACTATTTTATCTCCTGGTTTTAGAAGAGTGGCCTTATGTAGTAAGTGTCTTGTGGGGTCCAGTGGTGAAATTTTCCCAATCGCTGAGCCACGTGCTCCAGGTATGTCCTTTCTGTGGGTTATGTGTGCCCTCCTGTTGTAATTAAGCCTTGGTTGCTCTTTGCAAGTCAATGGGAGAGTCTGATTCTCAGGCTGATTGGTTGTGAGGACCGGTCTTGAGTATAGTAGAGGTGTTATAGTTCAGGGGCTGACCCTATGAAGCAGGATTCTCCTTAGCAAGGCTCTGGTGCCTGTCCAGTCTGCCTCTTGGATGTATTGTTTTTGGAGGTGGTTGGTGTTGCTCTGGTGTGGTCTGAAGTTGTCCACTGGGTGTTTTGGTTCTTGGGCCTTTTGGAGGGCCTCTGGTGCAAGTCAAGGTCAGCCACTGCCTGTGCTCTGCCTAGGAATACTTGGTATGAGCTACAAAGTGACCTACAGATGGTTGCCACCTTTACTGTGCTTTGAGGTACCTGGCAGAGGCTAAGATGTGAGCTGCCAGATGCCTTTAGTGCTGGGCTTGGGGCTGCTTAGAAAAAGGTATGGGACATGCCGAGGTCAGATGCAGCTTGTTTGGGGTGTGTAAACCTTTGAGAGATTTTAGGAAAGATGTCAGCATGAATCATGACAAGTTGTTTGTATGGGAACACCACTGGAAGCAGCTTGGGTGGGCCCATAAGTTGGGTGGGGCAGCATCTCAAGAAATCACCAGGGCAGGGTGACCAGTATTAGCTACATTGATAGAGACTCACATATGGTGATTGCCTGGGTCTGCAAGCTGGGTGGAGGAAGGCTCAACAAAGAAACAATGGATTCTGCTAGCACTTCTGTCTGGGAGAAAGCTGTCTCTCCAGCACTCGCCCTGAAGCCAGACAATTAAGTTCTTCCTCATATGTTCCTGGCACCTTTCATGCTGCTGTCCCAGCACTGGAGCTCAGAGAGAGTATGTCTATCAGTGAGTGAGTTCATTCATGGGCCCGTAAGAGGAATGCCTGTGACTCCAGTAGTCCTCCTTCTCACTCAGCCACAATTGTCCCTGGTTTTTACAGCCAGAAGATATGAGCCTTCTCTTCCCAGCTCTGAAACCCTATGCTGGGACACCTGGTGTGGTGCTAAGACCCCTCAATCCTCAGAGGAGACCTCCACAGTTGAGAAACCCTTCTAGATTTTTAACCACCAGAAGGTAAATCTGTGGCCAGCCCATTTCTAGTCTTTGCCCTTCTTATCAGTCTCTACTTGGCTCTCTCTGTTCTTAGTTGTAGGACTTCCGTCCAGCCTGACTTCAGGTGATTCTCAAGGATGGTTGTTCTGTAGTTTAGTTGTTATTTTGAGGAGTTGTAGGAGGAGGTAAGCATAGCATTTACCTACTCCACCATCATGACTGGTTATCAGACATAGACTGATTTTTGAACCTCAACCAGCACTTCGGGATCTTGGATAAGAAAGGAGGAAAAATAAGTATTTTCTCAGGATCAAGATTGGTCAAGAAGAGTAGAAGGCAAGTGAGAGGAGGAAGGAGAGGAGGCACTTTCCCCAAGTCTCTTGTTCACCTACTACTTTTGATCTTTTAGGAGCCTTCTGCCTATGCTCTGTAGTGATTGCACACTGATAGTATTGATAGTTTCTGTGTTTTGGTCTTAGAGCTTTTGGTCCTTTCACTCTCTGTCAGTGCATTTCTGCCCTACATGAAGGCCATATACAACTTGCCTATATCATAAACCCTTTTGGGGACTAGTTAAACTAGGTCATCCTTTGTGGCCCCTGGGAAAACTGCAAGAATAGAAGTATTTCCAAGCATTCATGTGTGTGTGTATGTTGGTAGTACAGCCCAAATCTTGCAAGAACCTTCTTCCAATTACACTCCCCTCCTGTGTTGGAGAGGGGGTGGGGCAGGAAGGAGATAAAACCCTGTGGCAATAACCAAGCTGCTAAATTGCTGAGCTGGTTTTAATTGAAGTGTGAGTAGGAGGTTTTAAGGCAGGTAGACAACATCCTGTTGTTCGGGTGCTCCTCTCTCTCTTTTGCACATCTGGCTGAACTGGGAGTCAGGTGGCTCCGGCGGCAGTGCCATCTCCCTTCTTCCATTCCACACCTCAGCCCACCCAAGAGTCCATTAGCCATGGACGCGGTGGCTGTGTATCATGGCAAAATCAGCCGGGAGACAGGGGAGAAGCTCCTTCTTGCCGCTGGTCTGGATGGCAGCTATTTGCTGAGAGATAGTGAGAGTGTGCCAGGCGTGTACTGCCTGTGTGTGCTGTGAGTATGTTGTGGTGGCTGGGTCTGGGGCTTCAAGAGGGAGGGCATGGGGCCTGCAGAGGGTGGACAGGGACAATGGGTATGGGTAGCAGGGGCAGGCAATACATGGGCCACAGGAGCTTGTCTCAGCTTCTTCTACTGCCTACCCTACAGCTACTCAGGCTTCCCCAGGGCCATGGTATACTATACTTTGCCTTAAGCTCCTCACTGGGGATTTTGCTCCCTGAAAGGACTTCTCAGTACCTTTAAGAGAAGCCTCAGGGAATGCCTTCTTGTGTTGGGGAACACAGCCTGGAATTTATCTTTGCTCTGAGAAAGAGGCAGGCTCTCAATTTCCATTTTGACCTTCAGTAGAGATCAGCAAGGTAGAGCCCTGGGATGGTGGAGTGGCAAGATTTGAGGCCACCAGATCCTGACAGAAGTAAAGGATTCTCTCCAGCTCTCTTTAAATGGGTTTGGAAGTGTCACCCCAAAGGAATACCATCAAATTCAGGGAAAGGAAGAAGACTAAGAAACTGAATACATTACTTTAAGAATGCAATGCCAGTTAGAAAGGATGCTGAAAGGGGGATGTTTATGAGTAAAATTGCCTCTCTGGATCTGTTTATTTAGCTTCTTTAGAGAAGTTCTCTGTGTGTGTGTGGGTGGGACCTATTCTTGATAAAAACTAGGACAGACAAGAGTTGTAACAGACACAGAGGGAAAACACCCTTGTTATGAATCAGCTTTGCCCTTTACCTAGGCATATCTTCATCTAATGCCCCATTTTAAATCAGATGTAACTTCATTTTTGCTCCAGGGCTCAAGAGTCAGGCAGATCTGCGACCTTACTCTATGCTAGGCCAATGATAGATTTGTGACCTCAGAAAATTAACCTATCAGCCTTTTAGTTTTCTTACCCATAAAATGGATATAATGTTACTACCTACCTCATAGGATTGTGAGGATTAAATGCCATAATGCAGGTAAAAAATTTACCATGGACCTGAGAAATAGTAAATGTTCAGTAAATATAAGCTATTATTATTATAGTCTTTTTTTCAGTCAATTTTTTCAGTACTCATGGAGCATTTCTAAGGAAGTACCTATCTCAATTACTTTTTATCAGCAGGATAAAAACACCCATGAAAACACCAGCTCTACACAGTAGATTCTGGACAGAAACAAAATGAGGGAAAATGTTTGGTAGTAATTTCAGTACCTATTGATGCACTGCAAGGTTTTGAAGTACCTTTTGGGTCAGTGAAGAAGGATCATACTGAGGCTGGTGACAGAAGATTTTCATTGTTTATTATTTTTTTGAATGGTCAAGCCATGTTTGTGGCAACTCTCAGGCAATTTTAAATGAATTCATTATAAAGGTTTCAAGGGAAATACACAGAAGCTATAGAATCTCTTGGGTTTAGATTTTGTTTTGCTTATATTATTGTTTTTCCCCCAAGCAGAAACTGGGAAAGGTCATTGAAAGCCAAGTAGTATTCTTAGGTCTTGTTCTTATCAGAAAAAGATGGAAGAGTGAGTAGGCCAGAAAGGGGCTCCTTTAGGGAAGCTGACAAAGGAGGGTCCCTTAACTTAGAAGTAAAAAAATAAGGTACAAAAAAAAAAAGCCTAGGTGGGAGAGGGAGAGCAACAGGGGACAGATGGTAAGACATCTCTAAGGCTTCAACTAGACTGGCTTCTTTGTTGTTTCTCAAGCTTGCCACACATGCTATCCCTTTAGGGTCTTTGCACTTATTGTTCCTTCTACCTCTTCTCTCAGAGAGGACTTTCTTGACCATCCTATCAAAAATAAATGCCCTTTCCTTATCCCTCTTATACTCTATTTTCCTCAAGAACTTTAAACTATCTGACATTTGTTTGTTTATTTATTGCTGGGCTCTCCAGCTAAAATGAAATCTCCATGACAGTAGGGACATTGTCTACTGTACCAGGAACACAGTCTGGCACCTAAAAGACATTAGGTGGCACATAAGAGGCACTCAATATATATTTTTGAATTAACCAATCAAAAACTGTTCTTTACTGCAAAGAGCTTCTGGTTGATATCAGGAGATCAGCGTGTGGACTCTGGGGAAGTCACTCAACTTCTTGAGTCTTGGTTTTCATATTTGTAAAATGGCAGTAAATAATGTGTGCCCTGCCTTCTGCATAAGATTGTTATTGGTAAACTATGCAGGAGACAAGGACAATTTTAGCCTTTTACCCATGTAGACCAGGATTACATAGGAATTAATTTAGGCAGGTGGGGGATTCTCAACCATTTAATTTTTCACTCAAAGTGAATCTTGCATAAATGCAGTTTTTATGACTTTCAGTTCTTCATGCAAACGTCCTTATGAAGTAGCAGAAAATAGCAAGAAAATTGGGAGTCCCCCTAGCATCTTTTGATGGGCACACTGGGGCCTCCAAGTCTTAGAGGGTGACTGCCTGACTGTGCTGCCAAGGGAAGGCACAAGGATACAGTGCCTTTTATGAGAGTTTTTCAACCTTTCTGAACCAAGGGTCCCTTTTGATGAATAGAAACCTTTCATCCCCTCATTTTAGTACTATGCTGTAGTAACAAAATCACATTTTACTTTGAAATAAACCATGTACTCATTTTAAACCAAAATGTGTATGCTTATGATATGCCGTAGAAATAACAATGGAAATGGTGTAATATATGCATGAACAAGAAGGTATAGCTAACAAACATGCACTGGTTGTAGGGTTCACTCAGAACTCATTCTATCTCTGTTTATTCCCATTATAAAAGAAGGTTTGGTTGAACTTTAGTTTCTGTACTTTTATTGTGGAAATAACACATTGCATATGCCTTTGAACTGTAAAATATACTTTCAAACTATGCTTGCTCCTTTCTCCAGTTCTGAACCCCTAGTTATGACTTTTAGGTATAGCCTTTTCTTCTGTTCAGTTTTAGAAAACTGAATCTCATAAAGTACTAAAAAAGTTTTCCATTTATTAGATTGCTCACCTTCATTTAAAGTGAAAAGTCATTCTTTATTTTCAGTAAATAAATCTAAATTTTTGTAAAATAAGTCTATTAAAAATAGTTCCTAATATCTTCATATTATAGAAAATTCAGAAAATTTAGATAAAAATAAGGGGGAAACCATCTATAGTTTATAACCTGTAGACAATTATTATTAAAAAATTAAGTGGATTTTCTTCTACATTTCATTTTTAAAAATGCTTTATAAACACACATATGCTGTTACAATGTTATAGTCTGATGTATTTTTCACTTAACATGAAAAAAACTCCATTTACACATAATGCTCTTATGAATGATTTTCAAACATTATTTTTAATAGCTGCATGATAGTACAGCCTGTGGATGTATCATATTTTCCTCAGTCATCCATTTTTAGACAGTTGAATAAGTTCATTTTGTGCTATTATAAATTTCATTATAATTCATATTTTAGTCCATAAAGGTTTCCTTGTGATTACTTCTTTAAAATGAATTTTAAAGATGTGCAATTTCTAGGTCAGAAAACATAAATAGCTTAGGATTCTTGAAATATACATGATCGCTAAATTTTTTATACTAAATGGTTCTTCCAATTTATATATATGCTCACAGTAATGCATGAGAATGTCTGTTTCACTGCACCCTCCCTAGAAATGGGTATTCTTGCTAAAAAATTCTTCTTGAAATTTGGTGTCTCACTGTTTCATATTTCCTTGATTAGCGATTGAATGTCTTTTATATGGGTGGTAAACTGTTGTATTTTCTCATTCATAAATTGGCTCTTTGTGTACTTTGCCCATTTAACCATTTGAATCTTAATGTTTTTCTTAACATATTATGGGTTTTTATATACTAATCCTTGATCTGTTGCAAATATCTTTTCTCAGTTTTTTGTTTGCCAAGGCATTTCGGTGACACAAAAAAATGACCATTTTTAGTAGTCAAATCTGTCGCTCATTTTCTTTGTGTTTGATTTCTTATTTTGCTTCCTAGCTTAGAAAGTTCTTTCTCCTCCAGTGATGTCATAAAACTTCACTTCAGTTTTTGTTTTAAATTTATGGTTTGGTTAGTTTACATTTAACTCTTTGATTTCATTTGGAATTTTATTTTAATAAGGCGAAAGGATCTAATTTGCTTTTGTTTTGAAGTAGCTAACAACTGTCCCAATATAAATTATATTCCCCATTCCCCATTAATTAATTAGCCTCTTTTACATATATTAAATTCTTACATATAATAGTTATTGTTTTGCAACTATCTATTTGGTTCAATTGATCTATTTATTCTTGTTTACCAGCACTATAGTATTGTTGGGGCAGAAAAATAAATTTTCCTTCTACCCTTGTAAATTCTTCTGGCTGGACTAATGATCAAATTAACATGAGACAAATTAACAGGAGAAAATGACCAAATTTATTACATATGTACATATGGGATTCCATAAGAATATGGGATCTGAGGAAAACCTGTGTAGTTGAGGTTTATATGCCATTTTGGACTAAGAAGAGGGAAGCAGGGGTCTGAGACTTCAAAGGGAAAGTAGGCAATTCACAGGTAGATGAGAAAAAGCAAAGGTATGGTAAACAAATTCTTGCTTGGCCATCTAGAAACAATGGGATACAGAGGGGAACCCTACAAACAAACTTGCTTGGATCCTCCTTGTCTGCCACACTTAATTCATATGTGATAAGGTGAATATGCTAAGGTTCCCTTCCTGGAGCAGGTTTTCCTATCTGAATTCCCTTATGCAGGTAAGGGGGAGGTTAAAAAAAAAAACTCTTCATGAGTTTGCTGGGTTTTAATTTCAGCTCAAAATAATCTGCATACCAGTGTGGCACATTCTGGGAAGACTCATTCTGGACCCCTACAGTATTATAGTATTTTAATACATTTTTAAAAAATTATTTGCTATTCTTATCTGTTGGTTCTTAAAGATGAAATCTAGAATAATTTTGTTAAATTTTAAAAATCCCATCAGGATTACATTAAACTAATAAATTAAGGAGGAACTGTCATCTTTAAAGAA